TGGGTATGTTCTGTGCTCGCCACACATCAAAATTCAGCATTCTATCACAATCCATTCGGTCATTAAAGCCAAAAACACTTCAAAACGGGAGAAAAAAGGCAACTTTTTGGGAACCTATAACTCTTTGTCAACTTTCATGTCGTTTTTCATGTTTTTGAGGCTGCTGATGACGAAAATAGAACCCATTCGGACCGACCGAAAATTTAGTCCCATTAGTGTAGATTTAGATGACCAAATGCTATTTTTGAGGGGATCACGCCCATTTCAACGGTCTGCCTAGGAAGGCAGGTTAGGGCCGCAGGCCAAGGTAGGTGTATACGCCAGACTTCGATTGTCGAAATTAGCACAGCATCGTGAAGCCTCTTACGACAAGACACGGACTGGCGTACACCTACCTAAACTGCAAGAAAAAGTGTGGATAGTACAACTAAAGTGCAACAAAAACTGTACCAAAAGTAGAACAGGGATTGTATAAAGTACAACGAGAATTATACAAACCACAACGGGGCCGGGACTGCCCAGCACTCACAATGCCGGTTCCATTGTACTTTGAACAACAATTGTTGTACTTTGAAAGTACAATAAATTCCAGATAAAAAATTTGCCAATAATTTGTGTACTTTTGTTGCGGTATTTTCCTGCAGTGTAGTATTTCCTGTGGCCATGAAGTTAATGTGCCGGCGTTCCGGGCACACTGTCTGGACACGTGCTGCCTCTACTTAGGCAAGTACAAGTGCCACTACATGCCACAGGCTGTCTACAAGCTCTGCTCCACGGGGCTGACAATATCGAGGAGTTGCCCTGCTGTGGGCTCTTTGAGCGAGGAGGCCTAAGAAAGCCGGAACAAAGATCTGCGAAAATTCCGGGAGCATCACACCCGCAAGTGCTCAAGGCGAGATGCAGTCAGTGGCCGTAACTTCGTAAGCAAGAAGCCTGGAAAGAAGGCGGCCCCATCGGCACATGCCATGAAGGTGGCAGCAAAGGTATAGACTTGTCTTCAAATTTCGAATACTAAACGAAATTTGAATCTATTTTGCTGCTCGCTAACAGTCTTCGTTCATTTGTTTCAGGTAAAGCGGGTTCATTGGACAGCACTCCCTGAGCGAGTTTAGCCAAGAAATATGCCGAAAATTTTGACAATGAAGATCGGAGCATTTTTTTTGCTTCTTAAACCTGTTATTTTACAGTGCATTTTGTGAAGACATTTTGTTCCGAAGATTAGGTTGTGACTAATTATCTTCTCCTTTTCCTCTTCACAGGCCACACAAAAGGAGGTCGGAACAAGCCGCAAATTTTAGGCGGTCATCAAGTGCCCGTTCTGCCTAGAGTTTCTTCTTTCCAAACGAAGGAGCTTGTGGGGGCATATGGACGCTGAACACAAGCAGCAGCTTGTGGCTCAGAAAGATGCACTGTTAAAAAAATTTACTGAAAATTCATAATTTTTTGTAAGAAGTCGATTTACTTACATTCAGTCTGAATTTTCATACCAAAACTTTCATACTTCGCGGTCTGAAAGTTTCAGACGACGTTAGTCTGAATTTTCAGATCAACATGTTGTATGAAAAATGATACCAGTCGGTCTATTTTATCAGACTAAGTGGTACGAAGACGTTGAACAGTCGCACTAAAAATTGCTACTCTGTAGAGTAGAACACAAATCGGCGAATTGCCATCGGTTTATCGTAGACGCTCAGCGAGTCGTCGCGGCTCAAAAATTAGGTACACGGCAGGAGACTCCTACTTGCAAAGGTAGTGAGGAGGCTAGAGATGACTGCTGAATTGCGAGGGAGCAGGGTTGCCAGACCCTGAGTAGGCCAGTGCGCCACCAGAGCGCGCTCTGAGCGCCACCGGGCGCCACGGAGGCCAAGTCGCCACAGATCGCCACCGGACCGCTCAAGTCGCCACTCTGGCGCCACGGGTCGCACTTGATCGCCACCGAGGCGCCACCGTCGCCACCCGTTTCGGCGCGCAGATTCGGCCGGCCGAGGGCCGAGGAGCGCGGAAATGTCCCTAATCCCTGATCCGCTGGCCGAGCGGCGAGCGCGCCGAGCCAAATCGCCACTGGTCGCCACCGATTCCGCGAAGTCGCCACGCCAGCGCCACTCGGGAGGCCAAATCGCCACTCAGGTCGCCACCGAAACTCGGCGCCACTTCGGCGCCACTCGGGCAGGCCGAGCGCCACTTTGGCGCTCTGGCGCCACTTCTGGCAACGCTGCGAGGGAGAGCGGCCTTAGCCCAACCACGCGCCGACCCGTGGCCATGCGCGAGAGTGAAATTGTATTCTTTGCTATTTAGCTTATACTGCACTTATTAACCTGAATCTTGCTTTGGTGCGCTCATGCCCTTTCAGACAATCACTTGGAATAAGTTTGTAACAAAATATTCGCAATTTCGCCTTCAAGTGGCAATTTTAGCTCCAAAAGATCATCCATGCGACACTAGCGCTACCTAGCGGATAGAGCAATAAGTGTCCATTTCGGAGCTCTGAAACATTCTCTATGCTTTTACGACACTAAACGTAAATATTATTTGAAATACAACAGTAGTATTGATAAAAGTTCTGAGAAAATGGAAAAATGTACAAAAGGGGCGGGGTTTTTTCACTCGTTTTCCGATTTCACAAGTATGAATTTAGTTTTCGGACGACAATGTACAAAACTTGATAGCCATCGCTCTAAATATTCAGACTTGCTAGTCTTAATTCAAATTTCAGACAACAGGTCAAACTTTTCAGACAGTTGGTCTTAATATTCGTACCATTTTATGAATTTACGATTCAGACCACCAAGTAAGACGAAATCAGTCTGAATTTTCATATATTTTTTAACAGTGTGCATTCTGGACTTGCCGAAAGGAGCTGGTATCCTCTGAAGAGAGTCACGCGGCACGGCTTCCCTCGCCGCCAGGCAGCGCCCGTAGCGCAGTGGTACCGAGCTCGTCTCGTAACCAAAATGTCCCGCTTCGAACCCGGGCCGAAGCGAACAAAGTGAAAAGTGGAAAGGAGATACCGTCACACGTTGGTGGTTCATATTGTTCTCTTGTTGATTTCTTTCTCTTTGATTTGTAGATGGCACTTTTATTTAATATTTCAGAGTAGCAGTCTGAAAATGTTTTTCAGACAAGTAGTCTGAATTTGGAATTCAGACAGAATGGTCTGAATAATTACTCTGAATTTTCAGACCACTAGTCTGTTTAAAAACTTCAGACTAAAAATATGAAATTTCAGTAATACTTATTTTACAGTGTGGCACCATGAAGTGGCATAAAGATATTTGAGATTCAAGTTTGATCTACTAGGAAATACTGTTACGTTATAGGGCTGATCTTTTTCGGCTGAGCGATAGGGAAGCCTCTTACTCCAATGGGGTTGAAAAACTTTTTCTGTCTGTCTGCGTGTGAGTGTGTGTACACTTCTCCTTCTGAACGCCTCGGCCGGTCTGGCTGAGATATTAAGGTTCATTGGGTACGTCCTTGGCTCGCCACACGCCGAAGTTCAGTCTTCTTCATCAAACCAGTCAGTGAAACCAACCAAAGAACCTTTAAAGTCAGCAGAAGAGGTAACTTTTCAGTGCTTTTCGGCTTAGTACTGTATTTAACATGGCTTATTGTGTCTCTGAGGGTGCTGATGGCGAAAATTGATCCCATTCAGAACCTTTGCGTGGCGTCCATCAAAGGAAGCAGCCTGCCGCAGGCAGACCAGCGCCGCAGGCCAAGGTAGGTGTATTCGCCAGGCCTGGATTGTCGTAATCAGCGCGGCATCGCGAAGCCCGTTAGCCACTGTCCGGCGTACGCCTACCTTGTTAATTTGAAAAATAATCACAGACTGGTTTTATGCTGGCAACAATTCCACGTGGTCAAACAGTGAGTTTAATGTTTACCCCTTTGTGTGTTCAATGAGATGAAGATAAAATGTACCTCCTGCCTTGTGTTAACTTTGAAACCTGCTTGACAGATGACTTCTCGTCAAAAAGAGATCCTTAAAGAGGAAATTACATACAAACTAATGAACGCTGGAGTCGTTCAAGACCGACACAATTCAAATATCGTTGACTGCTCAATTGACAACCCCACGACCCTCTATGCCTGGGATGAAGTGGTGGGGCTTGAGGAAGTAAAGGGGCTGGTCCAAGAATGTTGAAGCACAACCTCCACTGGTATTGCAAGCACAGATAACGAAAATGGCGTCGAATTTGTTCTCAAACCTACATTTTGACCCGAAATTAAGCAATAACAAACAAAAATGTTGGTGCCGAGTTTTATATTGATTCCGGTAGTTTTCGATGTGCTGAGAACGAAAATGACAACTTATTTGCGCTCAAACCTATACTTTGACCCAAAAGTAAGTAGTTTCACACCAAAAGTGTGCCGAAGGAACAAGAAGGCAACCCAGCGCCGCAGGCCCAGTGAGATGTATTACATTGCTGGCGTTAAAAGCCAGGCAAACCAGTTACGCAGAGACGCGGTCTGGCGTACACCTTCCTTGTTTACAGGATCTATTGTACTTTGAACGGGATTCGCAGTACCACAGGGGTAGAGTACGTAATATCCTGTACCAGGTACAGAAAATGCTGTACTGTAGGCACTGTAAATCCTAAGTTCTGAACTACAGTACATTCTGGCAAAAAAAATTAACGGTATTCCCTGTGTTTTTTTCTTCGCACAGTGAGGCTGATTCGCATCCAAACGAATGTGACACGTTCACTGAGATTCCAAACGCTATGAAAACAGCACGTATGGTGCAATGCAGCTGAGATATCGCACCATACGTGCGCCATATTGCACCTTACGTGCACTGCGTCCGGAAAAGGCCCTATGCTAATGCATGGGAATGGGGAGGCATTGCGCTGCGTTACGTTCCTGGAATGGGTGTGAGGCCGGGTGTGCCGGGATTTGGCGGGTGGCGTGGCTACCCCAGGCCGGTGCGCCTGCCGACTGCAGCATGAGCGCAAGCCCGGGTGCAGGGCTCAAAACGGGTTGCATAGTTACCATTACACGCGAGGTCCATGGCCCACCTGGTACGCTTTGTACGCGTTCTTTATTAACTTCTTATAGTTTCAATAATTTTCAAAAACCCTAGGCCACAAGGTCCGAAACGCTCTAGAACAATAAATCTTGCAGTGAATCACCTACACTTCGTTTGCCACTGAAGCAATACTAGGGTTCCACGACCAGACACACTTCTGCTGTTGATAGCTGAATGCTAATGGGTGTGGACACTTCATAGACTGGCCCCAGCCTGCGAAGCAAATGACGTACAACTCGCTGCGGTTGGCGACAGGAATCAGGAGGTACCGGTAGCGCAGAGGGAAGTCCGCAGGGCAGGCAGGCGGTGCAGGTAGTGGCGGCCACGAGGATGGCGGCACCGGAGTTGTGGGGAAGTATGGATTTACAGTGGTCCTGGAGTTGGTAGTTGGTGGTCGGTCGGTTGTTCTGATGGTGGGTCGACCGGATGTGGTGGACGACGGCGGGCCTGACGTCACCGTCGTTCCGCCCGTTGACGTCGTGGTGGGCCCAACAGTGGGCCTGGAGGAACCCGCGGCCGGTGTGGTTGTGGCCCACACTGTAGTGGGAGTTTGTGGGGTTGTAGTAGTAGGAGCTGGTTGGGGATTGGTGACTGTGGTTGGAGATGACACTGTAGTGGTGAGGATAGTGGTTGGAGGTGCTGGGGTTGAAGCAGCTGCTGGCGATGTAGTAACTGGTACCGGGGAGCTGGTGGTCGTAAATGGAGCTAACGTCGAACTGGCCGATGTGGTTGATGGAAACATTGCCGTGGTGAGAGACGGGCCCTCCGTTGTCTGTCGACTTATCCCTGCAAACAGCCAACAGATCAAATTGTTCACTTATTCGCTCACGGTAACTTATACGGGATAGAACGTTAGCTAGTTGGGTGTTTGACCAGTAATACATGCATAGAAATTTTCCTATACATTTTCGGCCTGTACAAAGTAAATGTCATACGGTAAAAGGCTGCACCAACATAATATGGTGGAGATTTCCTCCTTAATACCAACGAAATTCGTCAAAATCTCCATAAGGTACAGTGAATTCTCAATGTTATGTTACGAAGTCAGCTGCACCATCATAATATGGAACATTTTCACCATAATATGGAGAATCTTCACTGTACAACGTTTAGAGTGTACAGCGAAAACTTCAGATGACATTTTTTTACTGTGTGTTACAACTCACATGATATAGATGCAAGTGGCGTAATGAAAAGCTGTTTCCCGCTCACAGAAGTCATAGGCAGACTCGCGGCAACCGTGGAGGGGTCATTCCAGAATACTGAAAGAAATCCCTCACGAATGGACACAAAAAACTGCAAAGAACCCGCCTGAAACGCTGTCCATCCCGAAGGATAGTTCTGCAAAAATAACAAAAGGTAGATCAAAAAAGTGGCGAAGTTTACATTCGTGAGGCGATTTGTGATTGACAGGTGTCTATGCGACCACCGCAACCAAGAAGCAAACAAATTGGTGAAATTCGTTACTGAAAACGCCCATCTGAGATTTTGACGGTTCGACAGACGCCCCCTCCCAGAAAAAGGCCTCAAGTAATTTGCGGACCCCCCTAATTTGTCTCAAAAGTTGATGTTATCTATTGTTCGGGCAGAAAATCAGGGATACGCAGAGCCCAATGGAGTTACGCGAAAATTTCTTGCGTCACTTTTGACACTGATTCGGTTGATACCACGATGAAGTGCGTACACAGTAAATCCAGAGGTGATTCTCTTAGTACGTTTTTTGGAGATACAATTGAGTATCGCCAATGAACGGCCTTACGGAAAAGTATTCCCTTCAAAACGTCGCCAAGTTTGACAATACTTTGCAACGGTTTGGCGATTTCTTTGGGACAAGTTCTTAGTTTAATGCCGTCATTTTGGCAATACCCAAAAGTATCGCCAAATTTTGACAATATTTCTGTGTATCGGCGTTCTGAAGGCTAGATTTTTCGGTAAGGCCGTTTGTTGGCGTAACTTCATGGTATCGCCAAAAAAAATATGGTAAAGTATCGCCTTTGCATTTGCAGTGTAGCCGTTACCGCTTGTTTTTTCTAACGATTAAACACTAAACTTCTTACGGATACATCCTATCTGTATTACGGACATTTTTGTGCAATTGCAATTACGGATAGATTTTGCTTGTAATACGGATGAAATCATCCGTATTTCAAAGAGTTTTACGTCCGTACCATACGGATATTTTAGTCTGTATGTTACGGACACGAAAACCTTTGTATTACGGATAAAATCATCCGTATTACAAGCAAATTCTATCCGTAATTGCAATTGCACAAAAATGTCCGTAATACAGATAGGATGTATCCGTAAGAAGTTTAGTGTGTACTTTAAGAAACATTCTTATTTTAGTTCGAAAAGGAATGATTTGGCGCAAGACGCCAACACAGGCCTCCTAACCCCTCAAAAACATCATACCTATGCAATTAACTTCCTACACATCATGAGTACTTTGTGCTAATACTTACAAAGTTGACCAGATTGTCATCACTACAGCCTTTCCCAAAACTATTGCAATGTGCATAAGACTCATAAGCCAAGGATCTTCTATCGGGGCCCAGCCCACTGAGAAGAAGCGCATCACAGGAATCACTACTGCACGCCGCTACCGAAACTTTCCCCTGAAACAACTGGTAGTCCACGGTCGCCTGTAAGGAATCGCCCACGGAAACATTCTCTGCAACTGGAAACATCAGATGATTAGTAATAAGCGTTTACTGCGGCCCTCGCGGCTGAATATTTATTTTATTTAATTCTCTGTCGCCTTCAGTCGTCCATCTGCGACCAGCATACGAGAAAAGCCCAGGAAAATTTGAAATCAATACAGAAAACGGTCTGAACACCTATCTTTTTCGTCTTTCAACTACATAGAGCCCATCACCTCAAATGCAAAAAGATTGAATTTATAGTAGATATAAATTGAAAGAATTGATGGTTTCGAAAATGTTGATAGTAGTAACTTTTTTAAAGCCCAAACAAGATCACCGATACAATTTGTCCGTCCGCGGCGTTTTACCTATAGCACTGTAATAAAGTTGAAATCCTTGTGACAGAGACGAATTATCTGCATTGAAATGAATAAGAAGTTTGTCACCACTCTCGAAGGGGAAAACACCGAAGACTTCTTCGTTCACATGAGTCACTGACATGAATTCCTCAGTTGAAGTGCTTCCACTGATGACGGATACAGTCAATTCGGCGTTTTCCTGGTAACAGTTGCAGTTCGATGGTTAAAGGAAGAGCACTTTGAATGTCTGACAATGAAATTTGAGCAATGCTACCCCGGCACAAGCATGATACGAAGCAACATGTCTTAGTAGTTCGAGTGTTTTTTAGCATTGAATTGTAAGATCCTACAATTATAAACCTTCGCAATACGCAGAAAAAAACGCCTTCGTGTTATGCTTGCGCCGTTTCCTTCGTATTATGGGAAATATCTGCGAAGGCATTTAGAAAGAGGGTAAAAGTTAAATAGCGGGCAATCATTTCAACCTATTGGACGTTCGAAACGACCTCTTATGGAAACGAGGAACGAGTTCTGATCTTACGACCCGTCGCAATATCAGCTATCATTTTAGCTTTTTCCTCATTTGATGGCTTACCCCGACGTCAAAGACGAGAGATCGCAAGAAGACCATAGAGGCCACGTTTGGACTGATGAACCAATCACATGACAACCCCCGGCCACATTGTGCTGGCCACCCTGGCGAAGTGATGTAACCTTCTTGGGTAGTTATGTTTCCTCCACATGGCGCATGGTCTACACATACAGGCACAAAAGTTGAAATAGCACATTTCGTTGTCCTGCTGGAGGTCGTTGCATTAGATTGGTAAACAGAGACGCCCCTTGAACTTAAAGCATTGTTTATCCTCGACAAGTTGTATTTTCAGCTTATTACCTTGGCACAAAGGTCCCCATTCGTCAGAGCCGTCAAAGCAGTCGTTCACACCATCACAGGTGAACGCTGGGTATATGCACAGTAGACCATCGTTGCACTGGAAATGGTCTGACGATTCCGGGCACAGTGCTGTAAGTAACAAGTCACACAAGAAGTCTTGGTATAATCGTCCGAGGCGGCCAAGGCAGAGGCACACTGCAAGAAAACGCCACATCACAAATACACAAATTCCTGGCAATTTTTTTTCAGGAATTTATTGTACTTTGAAAGTACAACAATTGTCGTAAAGTTCAATGGAACCGGCATGACGAGTGCTGGGCAGTCCAGGTCTCGTTGTGGTATGTACAATTCTCGTTGTATTTTATACAATCCCAATTGTACTTTTACTGTACAGTTTTTGTTGTACTTTTGATGTACTATTCACACTTTTTCTTGCAGCGCAGACGACCCCACTCTCATTACAGTAACGTGACATCACGTTGGATTACAGTAACGTGACATCACGTTGGAACGAACGTGACAAAATGTCACGTTTCTTTGAGCATTGTGTCAAATTCGTTTGGATGTGAATCTACCATAAAATAGCTTTTTAGCAGATGATACCTTCACCACACTTGCAACATACTTAAAAATACTATACACATGAAGGTGTCAGCGTGCTTTTACTCTCAAGTCCAGAAACCAAGCGCATATCCTAACAATATAATAGGGGCTGGCCGGCGGGGCGGGCTGGTGTGTCTGGCTGGCGGTGAGGCGCAGCCTGCGCGGACAATGGCACCCCCTACCCCCTCCTCGCGTGCGACGGCCCGCGCGCAACATTGACAATCCCTCTCCGCCTGCCACGTCTCAAAGGGTGACTCGGGCAGGCCTCGGCTCTGCTCAGCTCGTGCCGACTTCGGCGCCAGTTCGGCCTCGTTCAGATGTTCGTTGAATGAGATTTTAAGTACTATCTTTGGAATGAGCTCATACTACCCCGCAGAAGAAAACCAAACGAGTATCATCTGCTTTCATTAACGTTCGTTGAATGAGATTTTTCACATTAAACGCATGTGATATACAGTACTTGAGGGACTTGACATTTTGTCACACTCGTGTCAACGTGATGTCACGTTCCTGGGGACTGGAGAGAGAGTGCCTGTATGTGCAACGAAATGTCTGAAGTGGCACACACTGATAAGACAACTGGCAGACATATCTTTTCGATTCAATATTGTTTTCAAGTTGTGCGGATACGGTCTCAGAGGAGCGTACGAAACTACAAGGTGCGTAACATATTCTACGTTCATTCCTTTCAAGGGCAGACTGGCTGAAAGTACTTTTGTGTAAGGGATACAACGACCTGCCTACCACACGATTACACAAGAACATCGAGGAAAAAATTTCCACCGCAAAATTTTGTGCCTCTTAACCATTGGGGAAGTACTTGCTGGATTTAGCTATAGCCTATGCCTTGTGCCTTGGTACAAAATGATTTCAGGAAGTTTAAGTTTATCCTAGAAAACGCTATACTCTGCGAACTCAACAGTGTGCTCAGCACACTCTGTACAGCGTGTACTAACACTAACAAGTACTCTCCGACGAGAGTGTGATTAGATGAGGACACTCTAAAGAGTGTGCTCAGATCCTGGAAATATACGCAGTTGAGTACGCGCTCTTGGGAGTGTGCTCGTGAGCACATGCTAAAGGAAGCGTACTCGTCAGTACACGCTGAAGAGAGTGTACTGAGTACACTGTTAGGTTTGCAGAGTGTCCGTGTGCTGTTGGAGTTACCTGCAGCTGAGTAAAGAAGACGGAACCCTGAAGCCACGTTGGAACCATCGGTGTGAAAGTGAATGTAAACAACGTCACCTGTGTCGATGAAAAAATTGCCCTGCAGCGGCCCGGTTCCGCTTACCATCAACTGGTTTTCAACGTTAGAACCATTGGCACGAATGACAGAAACAGACACTTTGTCGCAGCATGCCTGGTAACAAAAATTACTGTCAACATTTTACTCGTCAGTGTTGCTCTCCGTGCATTATCCTTTCCATTTACTATGTAATACGTTACACTAACAATTAGTTGCGATAGTGCGACTTACAGTACTAAAATTTTTAGCTGAACCGAACTAGGGCAAGGGCATATACAGTATGTGGATCCTGCCTGGACCATAAGCCAGTGCTAAGCCTCAATTTAGCTCAAAAAGTGCCAAAAACCGATACCTCTAGCAAATGCAGGAAAATTTATCACTATTGAAGGTCAAGAACTTCTTCATTATTGCCTTAACGGTTCTCATTGTGTCCGCTTCACCCAGTCCTTCGAAAAATCTAATTGGACTTTTTTCGAACCAATATATAGCTCTTAAGCTTCAAATTGAGGTCGGTACCTACATATGTTGGAAACATTGAGTTTTGGTACTTTCGTCGAGGAACAAATACAATCTCGCACCACAACCTATGACTTCGTTTAAACGCTTTTTAAAAAAGCCAAATCCATATCTGGAAAGAGGTGTCGGTTAATTTGATCTTTTTTTTAAGGGGGTAGTACACTTCGCGACTTTCAAAAAATCGATTTTTTTTTTTTTTGCATTTTCGGGTCCCTAGTACCTTACTTTATAAGTTCCGACCGGAGCTGGGTCGGGGCGCGGCCGAAATCCCATTTTTAAGCGCGCCCGGGAAGTAGCGGAGTGGGGGAACTTTCCCCCACTTAAAACTTAAAACGCGATTATCTCGGAACACCATTTTTCAAACTGGTTTGCGCGATTCCAAGCGCAATTTTCGACCGATTTCGATGAAATTTTGCAGGGACACGGCAAAAACACGTCATTTTGGTGTGAACTACGGAAAATACGATTAAACAAAAACTACTACCTTTTTCGGGGCCGAATTTGGGCGAAAAAAGGGGCTTTTTTCGTACTTTTTTTTCACAGTGTAGTTTGGGACACTAAATTTTTTCCAAACTTTTTTTCCGTAGTTCACACCAGAATTACATGTGTATTGATGGTCCATACCGAGTTTGGACCCCCTAGGTCGCACCGTTCGATCCCAATCACGCAAACCAACGGACTATGTATTTGTTGCAGTGATTTGGGGAAATTGGCCAAAGTCGCTGCAGCTACCTCGGAGGACCTTCAAAATTGACAATTGTGATCTTCAATAGTAATATAATAACGACCTATCATCAATTTTGATGTGTCTCACTTCCCCTGTCCGCAAATAGACGTCCCATAAATGCGATTTTTTGACCCTGCGAAGTGTACTACCCCCTTAATCTCATTACACTGATTTTGCCTTGTTTTGACCCCATGTAGCAAGAGCAAATATTTGTGCTTACTGTGGTTCATAGCTCGTTAGAAAGCAGCCCTTGTCACAGAAGTCTTACCCCGATGATCACTCGATTGCTTACCTCTGTGCTGAAACTGATCGACCTAATATAGAAGAAAGAAGTCACGTTCGGACTGATATACCAATCACAATCCACATTGTTTTCATATTGTTGCGGGAATCCCGGAGAGGTGATGGATCCATCTTGGGCCGTGAAGTTCTTTCCGCACGTTCCTGTTGCATAATGCTTCATGCAATTATGTTGGTTTGCCAATGTACAAGAAAATATTCGGCAAGTGCATACTTAGAACCCTACGAAGAACTGCTCGTTGTAATTCAAAGAAAACAAAGGCTTCGTAGCCTAGGAAGGAAATCGTTTGTAATACAAAGGTCTTGTAATACGAAGGGAAAATCCTTCGTAACCTACGAAGAACTTCGCAGCCTGCGAAGGATTTTTCTTTGCATTACAAACAAAATTGTTTGTATTACGAACGATTTCCTTCGTAGGCTGTGAAGCCTTCGTTTTCTTTGAATTACAAGGAGCAGTTCTTTTTAGGAATTTATCTGTGAGACCTGATTTATGCATTGGAAGTTTGTCGCTTAGTTATGAATATTTCCATAGATTACGGTGAGATGTTTGTGAAAAATCTACCTCATGCTCATTGCATTCAAATTGTCTTTTTGCGAGACAAGAGGCAAACGAGGGGTGAACGAGCAATTCATTTTTTCAGTAGGGAGAAAGGGGTCACTGGCATTTTTTAAGTTTTTTCTAGCATAATCTTGTACTCCTTTTGCGCTTTTGCCATCCTCTCCATACGCGGCTCGCACCTACGTAGAAGACGATTTGAATGCAAATAACAGTGCCAATGTAGATGCCAAAAAAGCCCTCTTTTGAAGATCTCTTTTCATCTTTTCACTTAGCAGATCATTAGGTCACTTTTCGGTATCTGGAGCAAGACCCGGAGTCCGCGCGGTCCTTCCAATGCAAAACCACAACTTCATAGAATCTTCTCTATCTAGATCTCTATACTCACCTGCAAGTGCTGCCTGGCACAAAGCCAGAGCAACTAGCCCTACGATGAAATTGTCTGAGATGCTCATGGTGTCATCCTATGAAACCTTGCAAGTAGACTGACATCTGCCATGGAACAACACCTTAAGAAAAGCACAAGAGATAAGAGCTGATAGATTTTTTCCTGGATGGCAGATAAGAGTTATGCGCCGCTCTTAGCTTTTTTCCTGTATGGCAGATAAGAGTGATGCACCGCTCTTGGTAATATTCCGGTGCACTCAGTTAACTGTCCGAAAACAAAATTGTGTAATGTAACAAGTTTGTCACTAATTCACGAACATTTCTTTGAACCAAAATCTGGTATTTATCAGAACCAAAGATGTTGTTTGCGTCCACCGCACCAAATTTAGTTTTGAAACTAAAACACTTTCCATTTCATTATCTTTATATACCGAGACAAAAATTCGTGGTGCCAAATTGTGAGGCGGGCGCCTCTCCGCTTCTCCTTGATTGCCGAAAAGCTGGTGAGCCATGACATTCGCCACGCGTGGAGGCTGTCAAAATGCTGCCGGTACCCGAGGCGGCGGTTGTTGAGGAGCAGGCATTCCGAGGTGTCATGGAGGCCTGCGAGGTGCTGCTGGTCCGCGGTGGTTGGGCGCTGCTGGCAGAGGACGAGGCGGGGGAGGTGGTCCCGGGTGTCCTCCCGAATGTATTCCTGGACGAGGTGGGGGAGGTGGTCCCGGAGGTCCTCCCCCGGGTGTCCTCCCGGATGTCTTCCTGGACGTGGCGGGGGAGGTGGTCCCGGAGGTCTTCCCGGATGTCTTCCTGGACGAGGCGGGGGAGGTGGTCCCGGAGGTCCTCCCAGGTGTTCTCCCGAATCCCGAAGAACTGTCAGCACGAGATACGGACTGTTGTTGACCCTGAGATCCTGATCCCGATGGTAGGGCCTGCAGGACCTTATTCCTAGTTTCCTCAAGTTTGGCCATCATGGCAGTCATAGGCGTATCTGCAATTGAGTGAGAGCATTATTGTCCTAATTTATAAATCAATGACCACCATCACCCATGAGCTCATGCAAGGGGCTGAGAATTGTACTACTTATAACACTTGTAATGCACACCAACCTGAACTAGTGGAAAAGGGGGGGGGGGGGGGGCAGGGGGTGGACTGTTTGCCGCTGCATTGTCTGATGAAAGAAGCTGCTGTGGAGCCTGTGGAGTCGGTGTCTTCCTGGACGAGGCAGGGGAGGTGGTCCCGGAGGTCCTCCCGGATGTCCTACTGGTTGTCCTCCCGGATGTCTTCCTGGACGAGGCGGAGCGTCAGGTGCAGGTCTTCTGATCCTACGCCCGATGATCTCGTTGTAGGTGGACTCCATCGTGTAGGGCACAGCGTCCAGGAACTCGCGCATGGTACCGCCGGCACTCAGCCGAAGCTCAGCCGAGGGGGGAACAGCTTCCCACATTCGTTGTACAAAATTTGACCACATTCCACATTCAGGAGGCAAAAACGCCTGTAAGTAGGCAACAAGTGTGGCAAAAAAGCAAGAAATCTTGCACATTCTTGCACATTCACACAATCATTGTACACAAAATTTTACAGTGGGTCACCCCTCGAGCTCAGCCCGAGCAATACGGTTGGCTTGATTTAAGAACTTCAACGTCCTACCAGTCCCGGCTGGAGGCAGGTTGTTGAGGGCCCGCAGCATCACAACCCGTGCCGATGTGTACTGGGTCCTGATAATGCCTGAGCAATTTGAATTGTAAAGTGCAAAATTAGTACAAGGCATAATACAAAACTTGCCGGTGCCGATTCAAAAGTTCTAGTGTCGAAGTTTCATCATTTGTCACCTTTAAAAGAAGGTTTTTGTGCAAATATTGGACAGTTTTGGCACGGTCACTGAGACACTACTGTCGGGCGCGCTTTCTCAGCTTTCTTGTGATCTTCCTTGATGAGCACTTTCTCGCATAGGTGTGCGTAGGCCCTTGCACGTACTGCTGCTATTCCCTCGCTGTTCTCCACTTTTGAAGAACTGTGATTGAAGAGGTGTTCAAGGGCCAGGACGGTATAGGGCAGTGCATGATAGTTTTACCCTTTAAGTTTGTCGGTGCACTTTCCTAAGGGTGCCAAAAAGTCCATCAGGGTGCGCATCATTGCAATGTTAATATCTTGCACCTGAGCACGACCAGCCTTGCTGTCTGCAGTCTGTTCCTTTCAGCCATTGAAATAGAAGAACTCGTGATAAACTTACGTTGTCCCACTCTCTTTCCACGGTCCACCTCGTGGATACTTCCTGCTTGACTGTGTGGTCCAATTTCTGGCTTTTACCAGACCGCTTCAGGAACGTTACCAGCTTTGCAAGACTCGAGAACTCCGATCAGTTTCATGGGCAGTACCACTCTGAACGATTCCTTTATGGCACTTTTGAACTCTGGTTCCTGTTCCCAGTCTTTATTGTACTTTGTTTTGTATTTTCCGTGCTTACCCATTATAAGTGTTGATCTTCTAGACAGCACTGTTATTCAAGAAGTCAACTTAAACTTGATCTTCTACACACAGCACTGTAATTCAAACGCCTGAGGATATCAATGTAGATTTTATTGTTAATTTTGCCGTAAAGGCACAAATATTTGAATTGCATTGATGTATTCAGATATTCAACATTAGAGTCGCTTAACTCATATGATTGAGATAAAAACACAGTATTCAAAGCAAAGTAGATTTTAATCCTATCATTTTCAACAAAATATATCCTATACTTCTGTCCCCTCGTTAGGTACCGTAAGGCCATGGGCTTCGGTAAATAAATGTTCTTGTCCATATTGTGATCAATTATTTTCCTAAAGCCAAAAAGAGGGGAAATCAAAATATTTGTATTAGTGATTGGAGGTTTACAACAACTGATTATGACAGGATTTTCATCAAATTACGAACCTTAGCTGACGGGTAGAATGAGAGTGTTTTGGTTCCTGTCAAAATCGGCTCTTGTTAGCTGGCTTGAGTTACTTCGGCTGTGGCCAGAGTTTGATTTATGTGGAAGGAAGACGAGCTTTTTTTAAAAAATGAAATAAAGAAATGTAAAGAAATTAACTAAAAAATGTTAAGTAAATGAAACTTAAAAGCCGTGTTGATGCATCTTTTTTTTAATAAATATATGTAATTTGATTAGATGGTGGAGGTGGAAGAAATATTTGTGTTTGACCAGCACTGACCCGCACGAACATCAACAAGAAATTTCGCGCCTTTTCTTGCATAAAAGGAAGGGGGCGAAATAAAGCCGGTCCTATTGCATTTCAGTTGCCACGCCAGTGATTACTTCGTTCGTGTGAAAAGTAAGTGTAGTTGTACTGTCAGTTTCTGTCGTTAGTTGATAAGGTTACGGAACATTGACAAAAGGAATTTATCTGGCGAAAGCTAGGGGATTTGACGTGTCTTTGGGGTTAGTTTGTCGCGTTATCTTATTTCCAATAATTACGTTTGTGCGTATCGTTTTGGGTAGGGTAATCTGAATTCATTGGAAGTTTCTGTGGTTACAACATGGTAGTTGATTGCAGGCTTAAATTCAATCTTAATAATGTAAGTTTTCAAGAGTTGTATAAGTGTGCTGAGTGTGGGTGTGACAGTGGCATGCCTGGGCGAATTGATGTGACTAGAATGCACGTTTCCACGTGTTGTATAGGTTAGCCGATTGCAGGTTTGACAGTAGCATATTATTGTCGAATTTACATGGGAGTAGGTTGCACGTTTCTACGTGTCGTGTAGGTTAGCTTTTGTGGGTTGACTGTAAGATATTAGGGAAAGCTGTTCCAATTGACTTGTGAGTTAGTTAGTTTACATGTTTGCCAAAGACTTACGTTAGTAAGTCACGAATTGTATGTCTAGACTGTATGATTGACTAGAATTTACTTTCGTTATTCAATGACTTTGTGGTTGTAGATTGCCTATGTTTTTCAAAGAATGTGTATTTAAGTGTGTGAAACTACCACAGGACAGTTTATTTACCCATTTTAACCTGTGCCTTTTTTATTTGAATAGTGGTTGTGATAATTGGTGCTGTGCATTCTGAACACTTTTCGAACTATTATAGGCTCAAAATACCTTGCATGATTTTTAGGATGTGTTTTTTGTATTTAACAGTTTAATTTTGTTTTCTTTTCAGATGAGTGATACTGAATTAGAGTGCCTTGGACAGGCTGAGTTGAAGGTATCTTTTGGAGACCTAAAACCTTTAGAGAATATACTGTAAAGAGTCTAACTAAGACTTCGAATTCCTTTAATGGTAAAGTGATTGATGGTTTAAAAGCTCTTGTTATCGATGATGATAACATTGGGTTTATTACCTATTTGCCCAAATCATTCAGTAATATGTCTGATGCAACAATTGAGAAGATTAATGCAGCTGTTGCTTTGAATAAGCCATTCTCAGTTGTACTTTATGGCAAAGTTAAGTTAGCCAATATGGCAAAAATTCATAAATATGGAGAAGGTAAGGTGTTTTCATTTAATGTAAATTATATTAAAATGTTGCTTCTTATTTAATCTATGTTGTGGTTTTATTGTTGCAGAAGTTGATATGGCTTATTCCAAGAAAGTGCAGAAACTTGCCGAAATGTCCAATTCTGCGACTACAGGTGCTTCAAGTGGGAGACGAAGCTCCAGTTTTGATGACGGACCTGATCCGAAAATTAAGAAAGAATAGGTGAGTGTATAAGGTTCAAATAAAAACAGTTTTAATTTTTTTTTGATTTATTCAAATCTTGTTTGTTACAGTTGGGCTCGAATCGTGGTGCTGCAGTTAAATTGATATTTTGTAAGGGTTGTTTAATTAATAAATAAATATTATTGTTGAAACGTGTCGAAAACATGCTCTTGTCCACAATATTCCCTTATCAGTGCATTCAGAATTTTGATCAAGTAAAGAATAAGTCAATGTTTCTTGACATAGTACACTTTCCTGACAATGTATGAAGACAATGTTAATTAAGTTGAATAACAGAATAACAGAATTAAACAGTACTTCAAATTAAATGGGATAAGTGTGACCTACACAAAATTGAATATTGCTTATTATGATAGTATAATCACTGAAGGGCCTTTACATTGTCTTCATAAATAAGGATGTTTATTTGAACAGAACAGGAAGCGGAAGCTCGGGCTGGGAGTCCTTGACTCTTACTAGTTCAATAAGTCAACTATGACTTGATCTTCCACACAAAGCACTGAAGTTCGAATCCTCGAGCGCATTCAGAGCTTCGCTGGATTGCCGTCAGATACCGTTGGTGTTCCGACCGAACAGGTGTATGGTACGACAAATAATACGGTGCAGCCAACTGTCTGGGCGGCGAGGAATCCATACTATCGGCAGGGACTGGAAACAACCTAAAGAGACCGTTTTGACCCCTTAAAATCAAAACCGCCCATTTTTTTCATTAGCCTAATTTGCGGTTTTCCGTAAATCTGGCAACCCCGACAATAAGAATGTGAAAACTGAAAAAGGCAATTTGTCAAATCCAACTCTTAACAAGTTCCACAAAGATGGTGCAACCGAGGTTTTTCTTCAATTATGAGTTGAAGGGAACTGAAATTTCATGCTCTTTCGATGTCTCCAAAACTCTTAACCAGCAACATATGTCGACAATATTATCCACCAAATTCGGGTGAGGACAGTTTTATCACCCTATGTTTCGGGTGATAAGATGATTCTCACCCTAATTTGAGCGATAAAGAATATACCTAACCCAAGTTTTAGTCCACTGAGATTCCAGACGCTACGAGTATAGCATGTGGTGCAATGCATTGAGATATTGCACCATACGTGCAATGCCATAGCCATAGGGTCTGTAAAGTTAAACCATGCGCATGGATGCTTTCATGCATGCATGCATGCATGGTTTTCGGATCACTATGGAATCCACTCAGAAGGCTATTGTTTCCATCTGGCATGACCCAAGAAGAAGTTATTAGCCCTTAGAAATGTGTCAGCATTGATAAAAGTCCTTTTAAAGTGGTATTTTCAGCGCGACGCACCGACGCTTGCGTGCATGCATGCATGGGTTGGTTCGTCAAAATGTGGAAATTTTAAAATCAAAGATGTTTAGCTCAATTACCACTTGCACGGACTTCCTATCAGCAAATACCCCTTATATAACAACAAAACACCTTCAGAGAAAGGCATGTACATGTTTTCAGTCAAAATTTTGACTTCTTGTACCACATAAAGCGCCGGAAAGGTACAAAAATGGCCGTTTTGTCGGTGTCCGAATCCCGATTGAAACACAATGTGAAGTCTAATTCCTTAGAACGCCGTTAAAACACCCAAAGTTTTGTGTGTTTTTGAGAGTGGACACTCTAATCTATATTTTAATTTAAGTCCCGAAACCTTGAGTCGATTGGTTCGTTCGTAAAGTGGAAGAAAAGTTTTGTCCGCAAATTGCGTCACTTGCTACCGGCATTTGTATTTCGCGGCTCTAAGCGTGTTTTGTGCCTGAACCGAACCAAGCGCCAACCCTATTCGGCTTCGAAATTGATATTAAACAAAACTGCAACGGTGGAAATACTTCCACAGGAGTATGGTAGGTTCAAAACAAGGATAATAGGTCGCTTTGCCGTAACTCGCTATCACAAACCTGTAATCGCCAACGCGTAATTTCGACCTCCCCCGGATAAACATTTTCAAATACTGGGACAAGGTCATGTTTGCCGCTTCATTTGACCTATTTACACCATACAGCGTCTGTTACGTACAAGCAAATTTGGTATTTCCTTGCGAAATAGATGGTTTTTATAGAGTGTAATGATGTAATCGGATGTAATCAGCCAGGGCCCCGGCGTCGACGCCTGTTACTGCACTTTTGAAGCTTAAATACTTGTTTATTTCGCATCCAAGCCTATTACATATGTTAGGATTTTTTGTTTGTCCTGATCAGACGAATCGATTTCTATAAATAGATGTCAGTTTTGTCCACTTGAAATTCCACCCAAACCACTTGAATGTAACGAACGTCGACGCGCGTGTAACAAACGTCGACGCAAATGTAACAAACGTCGACACGCGTGTAACAGACATCGACCCAAAGTACGCTTTCAACATTTAAGCCATTTGAAACAAAACTGGAACGAATTAAGCTTTGATATTTCTTGGGGACCATTCTAGAGCCATCTTGAATGAGCCTGCAAAATTTCATCCGAAAAGCCGCACATTAAAATCTTGGAAATCCCGCGCCTCAAATTCCCACATCTCGGCGAACCCAACCCGCATGCACGCAATCCCGCGCTGTCGCTAGTTCTCTTCCAAATGGCCTTATCTTGTATGCCAATATGTTTGAGCATATTATGTGACCAAAATGTCATTCTAACTCCTCGGATGACAACAAACCTTTCTATATGGATTTCGTGGCGATCCGCAACCCATGCATGCATGCATGCATGCAAGCATCCGTGCGCATGGATTAACTTACAGACCATATTGCACCTTACGTGCAATGCGTCCCAAAAATGCCCTATCCTAATGCATGGAAAGGCATTGCACCAATTGACGGTATAGTCATAGCGTTTTGATTCTCAGTGTCGTGAGTATGACTCGATCATTCTCAGTGTACGTACCTCCTTGGGACTCATGCTGCGATTTGGGACGATTTGCACAGGAGCTGAGCCACGGCGACGTGACAGCGGCGCGGGTGCGGGAGTTCCGCCTCGGCTGGACCAAGCTCGCCGCCCTCAGCACGGGACTCATAGCGACGCCCATCACCTTCTGTGCGATCATTGCCCTGGTCGTCGTGCTGTTCACCTTCCACACGTACGAGGCCGTCGTGCAGGCTGTCGACGGGAACGTTGAGGCAAGAACAAACGATTTCCATTTCCGTTGCTAGTTCACTACACGGCGAGAAGAAAGTACAGACAAAGTACGGAACATGTCCGGTCAATAATTTCCCTGGACCGTCCGTACTTGCCAACTACGGAACTTCCGTACTTTATTTCCGTATCCGATTGCATGAGTTCATGATTGGATGATGGAGCTCCGTACTTTTCTCCGTACCTCCGTACTCTTTTGTCAGTACCATTTCCGTACAAAAGAACGGATTTTTTTTTCAGTGTAGTGGTAGTCAGCGCACTCACTTTCGAGGATCGTGGAGCAGAAGTACAGGGGAACCATCGTCCGAACCTCACTGCGATCTTTAACTTTGTTTTGATGTTTTCCAGGTTGCTTTAAATATAATTGGCACAGGCTGCCCATACTATCTAATACCTTTCGCTCTGTGTGAAATACCACACCGATCGGCTGATGCAGTAAGCATAAAAATCCGTTACCTTGAGAATTATGTTGAATTGCTCATTTTTACGTCTGTGTTCCCAAGATACAGAAAAATTTCTTGGAGGTGCTTCGCAGTTCTCCCTACCACGTTTCGAAGAAGGACAGGAACTATGAGGTGATGGAAGACGGTAGCTGACTCGTGCAAGAATGTCTTTGTCCTCAAGTCAAAATGCGTCGAACCTTTGTTTTTTTGTTCCAGCTTCGAAGCTTTCTTGAAACTGTGATGTGGGAATGCCCCGTCACAACGGTTGGAGGGTACTTTGACCTTAGAAGGAGCTCCCTAAACACGGTAGTCTTCCCACACATTTTGTTGTATTACTGAGAGAACCTCGCGAGTAAACCAAAAATTAAAATTGTGTCACAGCAAAGTGACCATCTCTCCAAAAAAGCAAAACAAATTCTTCATACACTGTTAAGAGAAGTCGTGAACCATTTTTAGTTATAATCTTATTCATCACTTTGAGTCTAGTCCAAAAAAGGGACTCAAAGTAATTATTAGGATTAATTTTAACCAAAAATGTTAAAAAAATGTGCGCATTTAACGTTAAAATTAGCTTTAACAACCCTACTGACAGCCCTTTTCATGTCGACAGATACTTGCTGTGGTCGTCACTTACGTCGTAGTCATAATTCAGTTCGAGCTGAGCTCTCGCCACGCTGCATGTCCCAGCCAAAATGCTTCATTCCCAAGTTCCTGAAAAGCAGCCTCAGAGGGGCACACTGTAAAACTCAAGTGGTGCACGGTGGTACATTTGAACAGAATACATGTGCACGGTTGAGCGCGGCAAGAGTTGGGGCAGCCAGCACGCCGCCGCAGGCCGCAACCGCGTTCTTTACTCCGATAAGCACTGTAAAAAATTCCGTACTTTTGTACGGAAATGGAACAGAAAAATATAGTACGGAGGTACGGAGAAAAGTACGGAACGTTCCGTACTTGCTCCATATGAACCCATGTAAATGGGTACGGAAAAGGGTACGGAACGTTCCGTAGTTGGCAAGTACGGACGGTCCAGGCAAATTATTGACCAGACATGTTCCGTACTTTTTCCGTACTTTTTTCTGACAGTGAGACCCGGGTGCTGTTGAACACCAGCGATTGTAGGGGTAGCGCATCATGCAGCGGAGGGGGCAAAGAAATCTCCAGCAATGTATAAAGCCTGCAGTGCCGTATACGGGGGCGGTGGTGCGATGTTGAGGGCGGAATCGTGCGTGGCAGGAGACACCTGGCGGGGCGGAAAAGGGGGGAGGGGAGCGCCTTGCAGTGACGGGGACAGGGCGGCCACAGCCTACCGCGAACCGGGATAACTTGAGACTGCAAGCGTAACCTGAAATACTTTCGCTTAACTTTGCAAAAGTCGAGCTCCTGGACCCCCCATCCAAAGCCCTCGTTAAAAAGGTCTTGCCGACGTCTATCGAAAGGCGCACTAAAAATTTTCAGTCGGTCGACCCTCTTCATCCGAGACCCTGATCTAGCCAACTCGTTTATTTACCAGCGGCCGATATTGCCGGAACCAGGTCCATTGAATTCGTCTGGTCGCCTCGATTCCGAAAATGCCCCTTAAGTGCCATGCGAGCTCCACTTCTGGTGAGCACCACCTTCGCCTGCTCAAGCAGCCGTTTTTAAAACAACGTAGGTGTACGCCAGACCGTGTCATGTCGTAACAGGCTTCGCGGTGCTGCGCCAGATTCGACAATTAGTGGGGGTAACAGAGCAAAAACACGTTGCAAATTGGGTTACAAGCAAGCCACTTTGCACACGTCTTCTATTGACCCAAATGGTCGATTTGGCCCGAAGCACACGTCAAAATTTCCCTTAGGACTCAAATGCGGGGGCGTTAAAGGTTAAAAGTGTTCAAAATTTTCGAAATTTCAATTTTGACAGTTAAAATCGTGCGACGAGTCGTTTCCGCATAATTCGAGGTCGGGGAATTCATTGGCGATGTCAGGACAACGATGAGGTCACCGGAAGTACCGGAAATGGCCGCCATTTTGGATAATGGCTGCCAAATTCTTCGGATTTCGAACGGCTCCGCAACCAGTCGAGTTGGGTGTCGTTCCGATAGTTTCAGGGGTCTCTGAAGGCCACTGTGATGTCAAATTGAGAGTATTTAGCAGAGAAATACAGATAAACAGTTCCTCAGCTGTGAAAAATAAACCTGAACGATGCAGTGCTTTCCAGGATAAAGTGAAGGAAACGCAGTTTCTCTGCTTTGATAAATTTAACATGTTTGATGCGCTGAAATGACGTCTGTTTAAATGTAAATATACTCGCATTTTAGGTCCAAAATTAATTTGTAACTGTCAGATCTCGATCTCAAAATCTTGAAAGTATGTGAGGAAATCAAGATTGAAAACTACGTCAAGAAGAACCCAATACGAAAAGTGAGTGAAAGACAATGACCCTGCAAGTTCTATTGCGTGCTTGGCACAATTCTGTGATGATGATCTTCGAAGATCTTCGTTTCATGGGCATGAAGCAAAAATTTGGTTTGCTTCAAAAAGAACCTTCACTGAGATACCAAACGTTATGAATATACAAAGCACGTACGGTACAATGCTCTGAGATATCGCACCATACCTGCAATGCCTCAGTCATATTGCACCTGACGTGCAATGCGTCCTGAAAATGCCCTATGCCAATGCATGGGAATGGGGAGGCATTGCACTTATGTGCAATGCTTTTGCATTGTACGCTATACTCGTGGCGTTCGCGTTCTCAGTGTTAAATCTGAAACCAGATAGCCTCCCTCGAATAGGCATCATAACGTTATTGTTAGCAACATCACAACACGTTGAAACGAATGTGACAAGATGTCACGTTCCTTTGAGCATTGTATCACAATCGTTCCCACGTGAATGAGCTAATTTGTGGCTGATTTGCGTTTGAACGAATCCGACACAATGCTCAAAGGAACGTGACACTTTGTCACATTCATTTCAACTTGATGCCACGTTCCTGAAATGAGTGTGTATAATCATCAGGTCTAAAGCCAAGAAGTTCTCGGAAGAAATGTAGATTGCAAATTCTGCAAAGTACGCACTGATTTTCTATGTGTAATAATGAACTTTAAAAAGCAACAACATTTTTATTGCATAAGTAGTGCCATCAAAAAGTTATTGCATTAAAAGTGCAATAATTATTGTACTGCATTAGCCCATTTATCGCTTTATCAGCGTAGTAATCATTTAATCGCACCAAAACTGCGCTAATCTGGGCCCAGACCGGCCAAAACCTAACTGACTTATTGCATTTTTAATGTGATAATTTTTTATTGCTGCCACAGATGCGATAATTTGGGGGAATCACATTAGCATTTTTATCGCAGCAAATTGTATGAAACTTATCACTAGAAATGCCAGTACGTGCAAAGAACTCAGGTTACGTGAAGTGAGCAAAGTGTAGTTTAACCTCTGATATTTCTGATGTGATAAGCTTTACACAATTTGCTGCAATAAAAGAGATAATGTGATTTCTTTAAATTATCGCATCTGAGGCAGCAATAAAAAATTATCGCATTAAAAATGCAATAAGTCTCGTGGGTTTTGGCCGGTCCTGGCCCAGATTATCACAGTTTTGGTGTGAAATGATTACTACGCTTATAAAGCGATAAATGCGCTAATGCAATACAATAATTATTGCACATGTAATACATTAACTTTTTCATGGCGCTTTTCATGCTATAAAATTCTTATTGCTTTTTAAATTAGTTCATTATTACACTTAGAAAATCAGTTACATGATCTGATGTGTGCTGGGTGTGGGGATGCTCTCCTGAATACACTTTGAAGGGTATAATGACGAGCAAACATTTTAAATCCACATGGAATCATAGTACTCTCTTTTCAGATCAAGTAAGTCAGAAGGCTAACATATCGTTTCTTTCTTCACTAAAAACGTTGGAGGTAACACATCCGTACAGCATCGTGCACTGCTAGTTTACGGGGCGGGCAAATTGATCATTGGCCTACACCGGCCTTTTCCAGAGATATGAGGGCGGACCACAGCTAATAGGAAATGGGAAATCGTTTGGTGCACGTTGCAGGATATCTGAAACGCTTTGCGGTCAATAGATAGGTGCGATTGTCGCAGGGATGTGCAACAGGAATCTCTGCATTGCTGCTGCTGGCCTTTCACGCTGCTATGTTCCAGTCTGCTGAACTTCCAGAGGAGAATACCGCAAAAATAGGAGATTGAAATTTGGTATTTTGTTACCCGCTTGGCAGTTACTAAAGATTTTTTCTGCGGGAAAACACAGTTTGAAGTATTTAAAACATTTTTGGTGACGCATACACCGCAAGATCCACTTTGTGCTTGGTCCACGATTGTATGAATCTAGAAGAACAAACCGATAAAAGTAAACCTACCTAAACCAGAATACGCCTGTCTGCGCTGCAAGACCGGAGTACATCTCTCCACAGTTCATCGACAAGGAGTGCACTGATAGAAAAGATGCTGTTAATTAACAGCATATATCCTGTTAAGTTTTTTAGCAACACTTGTTGTAGAAGAACGGCATATTGTTGGACACTGAGTCGTTATTCAACAGCAGTGTTGTAAAAAGGGATGATGGCTCTCTGTATCTGATCTCTGACAATAAGTTGTTGTGTAACAGAATTACCATTTCCAAATGGCACCAACCTGTTCATAAACAATCGCTCTGTAGAAGCAGTTTTGACTCTTCGCTCGGTTTGCAGTATTATTAGGACTTACCCGAATAGCATCAGCTGGCTGCCACTAGAACACAGACTCATAGTGGGTCCGTCCGGACCCAGACGGTGGAGAAGTCTTAGCGCAGGAAGTGGGGCATTGTCTTCGTCCACCGGTGAAAACTGGACACTTGCTTCGCCCTGCCAGAACGCGATGATGCGTCTCCGTAGGAAGCGAGACATGGCAGCGATCACTGATAGAAAAGATGCTGTTAATTAACAGCATATATCCTGTTAAGTTTTTTAGCAACACTTGTTGTAGAAGAACGGCATATTGTTGGAGACTGAGTCGTTATCCAACAGCAGTGTTGTAAAAAGGGATGATGGCTCTCTGTATCTGATCTCTGACAATAAGTTGTTGTGTAACAGAATTACCATTTCCAAATGGCACCAACCTGTTCATAAACAACACGTTTCTGTTTTCAAACAAAGAAGTTGTTATACATTTACAAAAAAAATGTCGAGGGTACTAATAGTCTTATCCAATACTAGCAGTCATTCAGAAACGCTCTTTTCTGTTTACAAACAGCACTGTTCTTCAACGCGGTCTCTCTGTTATTCACAAAAAGGAAATAGGAGTTTCCTGACGGCTCAAACAAGACATTTGTTTTGTAACAGTTCGTGCAGTTCTTGGACAGTTCACCGCTGTTTAAAAATTGGAAGTGTTGCTAAAAAACTTTACAACACAAATGCTGTTCAGAAACAACAGAATTTATTTTGACATAGTTGGAGTTTGATTTGAGCCGTGAGCTGCAAAATGCTCCGGCAAATCTTCAATTGAATGGTGTTGTTTTTAAATGACAGGATACCGTTCCAAAACAGCATATATCATTAATTTTACAAACAAGATGTTCTGTTTTCCAGCATTGGAAATCGACTATATTTGTTGTTTTCTCCAATGATGAAACTTGCTGTTTCCTAACAGCATTTGTGCTGTTTTAAGTTCCGATGACACGTGCTGCTTAAAAGCAAATCACTCGTTGGTAAATGTGCTGTTTTCCTACAGTTTCTTTTAACAGTGTGTGCTTAGACGCACGGCATAAACACCGTTTCCTTATCAAATTGACTCTATAAAACTGCTTCTCAAAGCACACGTCTCTGCAAATTTAATTGTCAAGTATATATTCCGTCAAGATTTACTGCTTACAATAACGTTATGATGCCTAAACGAGGCAAGTTAAGGCTATCTGGTTTCAGATGTAAGGTACTTTTTGAAGCGAAGCAAAACTTTTGCTTCATGCCCATGGAAGTGTCCTTCGAAGATCATCGGCACAGAAGTGTGCGAGGCACGCAATAGAACTTGCAGGGTCATTGTCCTTCACTCACTTTTCGTATTGGGTTCTTCTTGACGTAAGGGAGTATGGGGCGATTTGTAACAGATTTCGGAATTCTCTATACAAAATTAAGAACATTCTGCATATCGGTGTCAAACTTGTGCCAGTTGAGCAGTCTGGCCCTTCATCTAGACTGTGCAGCTCCATTGGATCATTCTGGAGTCCGTAATCTTTGAAATCTAAGACGTTTTCCAAACCCTTGCATGCTGTTACGAATCGCCCCAGCATGGGGTGATTTGTAACAGCCATGGGGCTTCACATAATAACCTACTTATTAATTGAAACATCGTCGGGAATGTTATCTCCTCCACCAGTTGTTCTTCGGGTGTCCTGCAGACGTCTAAAAATCTACATTACAAGCTGCCGTTGACCGCCTCAGCACTAACTGATAGGCTATGTCAATCCTAACCTCACTTTTTTTCAATTTTAGAGGAAAGTATAGAATAACTCACTTTAAAATGCATTTCGAGCTGTGTAAATGTATTGGAATAAAACAGCAGATGATTCGAGAAATAATTCAAGCATTTA